CTCACAAAAGCTCCACCTTGCAGGCAGCTTCTCCAAAGAGTCTTCTTCAGACATTTTCACTGCTTATATAGCCTTAGAGAGGATCCTCCCAAGTCTTGTAACTTTCTGATCATCCTGAGACTTGTAAGTTTAGTGAACTTCCTGAATCTTATGAGCTTGAATATTTCAATACAGAACACATAGCAACACTACTGTCCCTAACAGTTTGAGCTGTTAGCTCTTAAACTGAGAGCTTTATCTAGACTTTGGGATTAGACACAGCTAGAAGAGAATCTCAAATGTGGGTCCTTAGCAGCTATAGCCTACATCAGTCAACCCAACTTCTAGAAGCCCTGGGGTTTTTTCTTCCTCTTTATCAGATGGATGTAAATTTTTAAATGAAAAAGAATAACAAACCAAACACTTTGATCTGCTATAGGTGCATAGTTTGTGTTCAGTAAAAAAACAAAACAAAACAAAAAATAAAACAATATCTGCCTGTACTGTTCTCCCTTATTTCCTTTATCTGAGTGGATGGTTGGTTAGCTAAGGCATGTGAAGTCAGCCATGAGATAACTAAAGCCAGTGCCCAGGGAGAAACCCTTGCCCTCAGTAACTCACCTTCTGAACAGAAAACAGACACTGCAACTGAGTGAAGTCCTTAGTGCGTTAGAAGGTAAGATGTGCTCTGGAGGAGAAAAGAAGAAAGTGGAGTAGATTGCAGAGACCAGCACTGTGAAGCGGGGTGAGTAACAGTGGATAGGGAAACTTCAATAAAAAGGTGAGGGTGTGCCAGGTGGAGATCTCCCATGGACAGGGAGAGTCCGGGCACAGAATTGTGGTGACAAGGAACTGCCTCTTGGTGCCAAGACACCAGGGGCCAGGGACCAAAGCCCCTCATGCTGCTTCCCCAGAATCCTCAGATCTGATGGGCAGGAAGGCAGACCATGGGAGGTGTGGGAGCGGGACAACTGCACAGCCAGGCCCGCACACCCTGTCCCTGTCCTTGTCCTCATCACTGTCCCTTTTAGCCCAGGGCCACATGAGTTGTATAAAAGAAGTGTATTCTCCCTTAAAAAGCAGCCCACTTTCTTACCCCATTCTCTTACCCCCAGGGCTTTGTGGCCACCCAACTTCAAATATTTTTGCCTTCATTTGCTTTCCGAAGCATAAAGTATTTCCGAAAGCTTGGTAAAGCTGTGGCCCCAGTGAGAAATAGCTCAGGTGCCGTACATCTCTCTGTTCATGGAGAGATCTCTAAGGGCCTTTAACCTGCAAACACCGTAGTCAGTACACAGAGGTCTAAGATCACGCCACTGTAAAACAGGCTATTCTTCTCAGGCCAACACCAACCCAGTAAACTGCAGACGGAGTATTCTGTTCTGTTTGCTTGTCTTAGCTACTTAGGTCTTCATTTATTTCCACCACAAATGTTCACCTTAGGGGGAAAAAATGAGATCTAAAATTAAACCTTACAGAGGGAGATCCATCATCTATTCATTTACTATGCAGTGTGCAAGTTCTTGTGACAGAGCACTGACCTCGACAGAGTGTCACACAGTTTTCTTCATATATGCACACAACCAGGAAGTAAGTTAAGCAAAGCACATAGCAGCACATGACTAATACCTTACTCATTCATCCATCCATTCATTCATTATTTATTCAGGAGATTTGACTGAGTTCCTATTACATGCACAAAATTGAGCTGTCCATGAGTATATGTGAAAGTGTGGTATAGCAACATCCTGTAAGACACGACATTCCATCTTAGAAAGAAGCTTTTTGCAGGATATTCTAAATGAAGGTGAACATTCCACCCTGTGGGGAAGCTTCTTGAACTTTGGGAAGTAAACAACTCAATAGCTTCAGGAAGTTCCTGAAACTAATCAGATTCATTAGACCACTTCAATCCACCAAGCATGTATTAGCAGTAAGGATCACTGCTGAGAGACATTCTCAAGACCAGTCAAAACAGCCTGGGAAAGGCAGAGAGAGCAGCTGAGCTGGTAATTTCAAACCTATGGAGCTGTCTACAAGGCATGCGGTGAGCTCCAGCTATGGTGGGCTTTGGTGATGTATCTGTCATAGAGGTATGTCTGCTCCTTTAAGCAACCTCTCACCCATAGTTCTGTAAACAACCTCAAAAAAACTTCATTGGTTCGTGAAACTGAATTTTGGTGGTATCCATGCCACCAAAATTTGTCATTGGTTCACTATTTGAGGTGAGCAAATGTTTGTTTTCATTTCTCCTGGAAAAGTGTCACTTGTACGCAGAGGCCAGAATAGGCTGTTTCATGTGTAGGATCCACTTATCTACAGGGACCAGAGCCCTAAAGCCAGTATGTAAGCAGACAGTTGGGAATCAGACCTCCTTGTGTATCTTTTGTTTCCTCAGTGTGGGCAGAGATGTGAGAACAGGAGGCTGTTGGTGGGCACATGGCAGGACTCAGGTGGTGCCCAACCCTCTTGCTTACTGAATAAATGCAAGCAGCAGTGGGGACAGAGGCTGGAAGAGCAATCTCTTCAAAGAACCCGCCTCCGTTCAGTATCTATTACATACGGGAGAGGTGGACTCCTGCATTCAAGAGAAGCCAGAACTCTCAGTTCCCTGTCAGTTCTGAAACTATAAATATTTGCTCCAACTTTTAGGAAGCCATTGTTTAAACTGAATAAAAACTGCTATCTGGGTTGGATGGATGCTGATATCTTGGGAAAGTTGGTCTAGCTACCAATGAACTACAACCACCCGTTATAAAGTTTGCTGGTTCTATTGTAGCCACAAGCACTAACGCACAGTCGGTCAGGCAAGCCAGAGCCACAAGCTGCCTCAGATACCAAGCATCAGGCTGCTGTTATGACTGAGATCTGCTGTAGGCTCTTATCTTATTTCTAAGATAACTAGAGTGAGGTGTTAAGAATAGCGTCCTTCCTGGCCTTTGAAATAAGAATGCAGCTGACTGGATCCCTTTTCCTCTTTCTTTCTTCCTTTCTTTCCTTCCTTCCTTTCTTTCTTTCTCTCCTTTTTTTCCCCAATGGTTGGGCAAGTAGGGGAGTGGAAAGAAAAGACTTAGTAACCCTGAGTGACAGCATGCTGTCAGTCCAGGAGCCCAGCTGGTTTTGATTTCTTAAGCAGCTAAGAAGAAATCTGAGCCTCTGTTCACGAGCTCCTAACCCATCAGGCTGGACAGCCCCACTGTCAAAACCACAAACTCAAAACCCAGCAGACACTGAAGCAGTAAACATGGATTTTACGTAGAGAAATTGTAGTAAGAGTAAGGGACCTCGGTGTAGACCTGGGCTCAGTTCAACATTACGACAAAGAACGGTGGAAATCCTCTGCCTCAGACCAAGGCAGACCAGGAGTGTAACATCAGGATGGCATACGGGTGTGAGGGAATTATATTGAAATTGGCTTGGCATGATTCTTGCTGAAGATCAGATGTGACCTGGGGAAAAGATGAGGGACGAGGACTCCAATCTGATATTAGTGATGACGGGATCTCAAGAGTGGAGGAGACTGTTGCAGAGTTCTTGTGTAAATGAATTGTTTATTCCAGCTAGCCCGAATAAAAGACACGAAATCCTGGTATTTTACTTACAAGCTGTAAGCCTAGATTGGGTAGGTCGTGAGCTATTCTAACTTATATCCCAGCCATATGTTCCTTGTTACTTGCTGTTTGAGTCTCACCAGGGCTATTTCTGCTCCATCAGTCTGTGGGTGCGGGGAGGTGCATTTCACTCTCTCCAGGTCTCTCCTCCTCCTTCTCTCTCTCCTGGTGTGCCCTACTTACAACTCCCAGTCTGGTGACTGAAGCCCCACCCACCTCTATTCTACCCAGTAATTGGCTGTGGCCACTTTTATTGAACCAATAGCTTTAAATTGGGGGGGGGGGGGTGAAGTTTACATAGCATTACTTTGTGCACTTGAGTATCTGCTCCTGAGGGCACCCAGATCTTAGGGGCCAGTATTTAGCATTTGAATACACAGCAGCACCAGACCAACCCTCAACACACTTGCTATGGTTAAATCTTACAAGAGCATGTGTGGATGAACCTAAAAGAAAGTTCTGGAGCCCAAGTAAAGTTTGGTCAAATAAGGATTCTTTTATTTCTAATTGTTCTCACCATCCACAGCTATGGTTGGAGGCGTAAGGAGCAAGAGAGTAGAACCTTCCATTTCTTTCCTCCAAACTCTGTCATATACCCCTCTTCGTCCTCTTCCAAATTCATAGCTCACTAATTGTTGTTACTATATACATATATGTGTTTGTATAAATATACATATTCCCAAAAACATAAATACAATCTGCTTAGTCTGTTTAATGTTCCTTGTGTGTATGTTTCAGGGCTGATCATTTGGAATCGGATAACTACCTGGCTCACATACAATCCTTTTTTTTTTTTCTTTTTTTTCACTTTACAAGGTGTTGCTTTGTTTGACAGCAGTTATGGGTTGCCGGAACACACAGGCCTGACCCCCGTGTTCCGTTTGACCATGTAAGAAGACCCACGGCAGTGCTGGTGGTCCTGGGGGACCAGCCAGAAGAGCTCAGCAGGAACCACTGGCTTCAAGGCTTTGTGTTCGCCTTCGGCCCCTTCTCCATAGGCTTCCCGATGTCCTTCCCCCGATCTTGAGACTGATGACTCTTTCAATTTTGCCCAAAACCTCATTATTTGGAATGGTCCATCCACTTTCATAGTCTGTGGTGACTGGCAGCTTTTCATTGATTTTCGTGCCCAGGTCCTTCTGTGTCAGGCCTTTGCTCTGCTGGCCCCGCTGGATCACGTTGCCCACCTCCAGGGTCACTGTGTCGTGATGCAGCTCCTCTGTCTCCTGGTCTAGCTTGGCTGTGGTTTTAGTGATAGAATGCTGCTTGTTCTGGCCAGCAGCCCATTTCTTGGATGTCTCCACATCTTCTCGTCGCTGAGCTGCTAAGATGGTCTGCTTAGACTTGGCCTGTGCGGCCATGGGGCCCTTCTTGAACAGCACCATCATGGTGTCCCAGTCGCTCGCGGCCATGGCGCAGCAGGGGCAGCGGTCCGTCTGGACGCTCAAGACCGGGCACGGCGACACCACATAAAATCCTTTTTGTTTGTTTGATTGATTGACTTTTTGAGACAGGTTCTCTCTACATAGCACTAGCTGTCCTAGAACTCACTCTGTAGACCATGGTGGCCTTAGACTCACAGAGATCCATGTGCCTCTGCTTCCCAAGTGCTGAGATTAAAGGGATGAGTCACCATGCCTAGCTACAAATTTCTTATTGACTTTCAAAGCCTTCCTTTACTTTATAGCCACTGTCATCTCTCTGAAGTAATAGTTGCCCTGCCCCTGTCCCTGTCTACCCTAGTTACTCCTACCAGCTATAAAGTCACCCATGAGACCTTCTGTATTAGTTTCTTTTCCTGTTGCTGTAAGAAGAAATACCTTAACAAAAGTTAATTTTTGGAAACTGTGAGCCGAAGTCCATCCCTCCTTCCGTAAGTTGCTTTTGTTAGGGTAGTATTCTCCATCATAGTAGGGGAAGCCACAGCAGCAGGAACTTGAGGCTTCAGGCCACATGCACCCAAAGGCAGAAAGCAGAGGGAGAGAAATGCTTATTCTTTCTCCTTTCTGTGCAGTCCAGAATTCAAGCCTACTTTAAAGGGGTTCACACTATTAGAAAGGCAGGCATGAAAGCCAACTAACACAGCAAACGGTCACTCAGAAAGAGCACAGAGGGCCCCGGGCAGAATACAGGCTGGATCTCACAAGGCTTGACTCCTGGGGGAGTCATGATGCTCACAGTACCATGGCAGCCAGGGTGAAATCATAAGGAACTAGAAGGAGACAGTGCCTTGTACAGTTGTTACTCATGAGACTATGCCTCAGGACCTTATGCACAGGGGCCTTAACTTACCAGAGACCCCGTTCCCTACCTTTGTTCTATCCTCATCACTGTGTAGACATCGGTTTGCCCAGTTCCTTTTCCCCTCCAGATTTCAAGCTTCTTAAACATAATCTATTGTCTTTGTGGTGGCAGTAAGTATTTCTCAACAAAGAAACACAAAGGTTCTCCAAGTGATCATGTCATCAATCCCTGGCCATGCCTTCTCTTTCCAGCCTGTTCTCTTCATGTTGTGCTATGTGTATTCTCCACCAGCTACTACTGAGGGTGGAGCCTCTGGCCCTTCTATTTGAGGCAGAGGCAGGCCCTCATGCTACCATGACTGATATGTACACACAAAGAGCTTCCAGAGGTCATTAAAGGAAATGAGTGAACAAGACCAATTTCCATCATGTTTGGTGGACTTGTACTTACTAATGTTGTTTTATTCCTTTCTCAACTGCCAGGATAGTAAATTAACATTACGTGCTACTGAAAGGACTCATTTGTGTAGGCTTCTCCATCATGTCTGATAATAGTTTATCACCAGGACCCTCACATCCTGGCTCTCCCAAGGCTACCAAGCACTCCACGGTGATACCTTCCTCGGTGGGTGCCAAATCACAGGAAAATGAGCATTCAAAGAACAAATCTCTGTCTGAGGAAGAGTCTTCAGAGTCTATGGATGACTTAGAGTTTCTAGAATTTGAGGATGAGGAATCTGAGGAAGAAGAGTACCTGGAAGAGGATGATGAGTTTTTGAATGAGGAAGAATTATTACAAAGGGAAACGTATCTGTTTCAAGCAACATGTGTGGAAGAGACTGCATATCTAAAAGAAAAGAAGCTTCAGAAGCATCTGGAAGATGGTGAGTATCTGCAGGGAAAAGATGTCTTGAGAAGTATCTGGAAGTACATGAGTATCTACAGGCAAGGGTATGTCTAGAGAAGCATCTGGAAGAGGGTATCTGCCTGGAAGGGTGTCTAGAGAGGCATCTGGAAGGGGGAGAGTGGTTTTATGACACAGAGCATTTGGCAGTGGTTGGGGTGGGAGAAGGACGGTAGTTCTGGCTCCCTGGGTACTCAGGCAGAAACAGCAAGGATGAAAGGCAGGAAGAAACTTTTGTCCTCTCACTGACTATCCTGTCAATGATGTTGACAGATAGAATGCCATTATGACCAAATTCTGCTCAGAATGTCTACACTGGGGCACCCTGAATAAAGAGCAGTCAGAGAAACTTCAAGAGTGCAAGTGCCCTGTTTGGTTTGTTTTTTCCTTCTGTTCTTTTACTGTGTATTTGTTGAGACAGGGTTTCATTTACCCCAAATGGCCTCAAACTCACCCTGCAGCCCAGGATGGCCTTGAACAACTGCTCTCCCTGCCTCTACCTGGAGAGTGCTGGGGTTACAGCCTACACCGGATACTCTTAGTATGTTCTGAAAGCATCCACCAACTAAATGGTATCCTGACCCGATCTCTCTGCTGTAACAACAGTTTTCCTTTTGAATGAAGAATGAACCTGTAGCAAAGGTGTTTTAGAAACCATATAAGATATAGGAAAACAGAAGGGAGTTCATAAGAATGACACTCGAGGCTGCCCTTTAGACTCTAACCACATGTGAATGTGTGTGTACAGTTAAATAAAAGAAAAAAGCAAAAATTTCCACCAAAGATGACAACCTGTTTCATACTTTGGTTCTATTTTTCTCAGACCTTTATGCACATGTACACATATACAGACTAGTTGTGCGTACATAATTTACTCATAAGATTTTGGTCCTGTATTGGTAACCAGATTGACAAATTTTACCTTTTAGGAAAGAACCATGTTTTTCCCATAGTGCTTGCACCCAGTTTTTAAGGTATACCTATTTATGTATTTGTACCTTGTGACTCTATACGAATATTATGTGTTTCATGAATATAGTTTTGTATTTTATAAATTGAATGTATTGGGCTTTCTTTTTCATATTTTTTATTTTTAACTGACATAACTATTGTACACACCAGTGAGTGTGTGCAGTCAGCGCACAGTGATCAGATGCAGGAGCAGAGAAACCTACCCTTCATCCATGTGACTCTTCCTTACGGTGGGAACATGCCAAGTCCTCTGTAAACTATTTTGAAATATTCAGCTAATTGCTGTCCACTGAAGTTATCTTTTCCAGAGAGCATTCAAAATCACTCCACTTGTCCACAGTGCCCACTAACCGTCCTCTTGCTACTGCCCCCACTCACGCATGCCCACTCATCCCAGGCTAGACCACAATATTGCTATTCAATTCCTATTACTAATCATTCATTGCTTCCAATTTTAGTGCTACATCTTTTTGTCTCGTTTTTTTTTGTTTTTTTTTGTTTTGTTTTGTTTTGTTTTGTTTTGTTGACAGGGTCTGCCTATGCAGCTCTGGTGAGTGTGGTATTTACTTTATAACCCAGGCTGGCCTAGACTTGAGGGCATCTTCATGCCTAGGCCTTCTGAGTGCTGGGACTCCCGGGTACTCACCACTCCTTGTTTGATGTTACTTTTGTAAACAGCCCTTTGAGATTGGGAAGTAGTTTATTTAGTAGAGTGCTTGTTAGCACCCATGAGGTCCTAGGGTTGACCCATTGCACCACATAAACTGGATGTGGTGGTACATGCTAGTGATCACAGCACTCGGGAAGAAGAGCAGAAACTCAAGATCATCTTCAAATACATGATGAGTATTTTCTAGACAAAGACCTACAATTTGACACTAGGCCACCAGACTCTGCTTCCCAGACTCAGTCCCCTAGAAGGGATATTCTTACTACACTGCTGAGTGATGACTCTCAGCCAAGGACTGACATTTTTCTACAGCCCCATTCCTGAGATTATCAGCATTGCCTTGATGAGTTTTACTCTGGCAACAGCAGCCACTGTGCTATTTGCTAGCTCTAGCTAATGTGTCCCTGGCACAGAGATTCATGTGGCATCTTCCCAGGATGTCCTGACTGGATGATCATATCCAATCAGGTACAGAAATTAAAAACCCTAAGTCATCTGCATCATCTTGATGTGGACCTAAATTAAGAACTAAGCTATATTCCTGGGACCAGTTTTGTTACCCTCAGCTTTTATCTTTAGATTCTCTTGGAGCTCTGCAGATATAACATCCTTGATTCCTGCTACCCTCATGGAAGCTGAGCATAGCAGAAATGACTTCTCTTTGGCCAGGAGATTCTTTTCTGTGTGCCTCTACCATCATGTTCCCTCTTGGGATTCTAAGATCTCCGCTGTCCAAATACCAAGTGTAATGCTAATACTGAAAAATAGCAACTCGTGCTTTTCTTCTGCACAGTATGGATCAAGCATTCTTAACATGTCCCCTCTGTGTGCTGGATCTTTGTAAATATATTACCCACTGGAGTCAGACAAACACAGTGCTGTCAAGCGAATGGAACTGTGTATAAAGCAAGGGCTTTGAAAATAAACGACCTGCTAGCAAAAAATTGAAAAAGCACTGAAAACCCTGCAGGGAGATGTTGGAACGATTTTAAAGGCACAGAGAAGAGCTTCTTGGGCTGTACAAACTCCAGTACCACACTAGACTATGTAAAACAGGTTACAGGGGCAGGGCATTAACAAGAGAATTCTTTGGTTTTTGAAAGAATTTATATCAAGGTTTTTAATGTAGAATATTTTCCAAATATCTTTGATATAACTAGTGTAGAGCACAGTATTGAGCAGGAATGCCTTCCTGAGCCATAGCAGATATGTAGCAAATTGAATCAACCGAATAGATTTACTTTATAAAGGCATATTCATTTACACATGCATGCACTCAAACACACACACACACACACACACACACTTATTTTTAGTGAATTAACTGGCATTTATAAAAAGAACATGTGAACTACCATCTCTCATTCTGGTAGGTTAGTTACTAGGAGTTAGAGGCAGGTCACTGTCTTGAGGAGGATCGGGGGCCCTATCTAGGCACATCAGGAAAGAATACCGCTATCAGTTAGTAATGTCTCTCATAGAATTAGGTAGTGAAGATGAAGCTTGACTGCCATTTGTTTATTACAGGAATCTGCCATAAAGAAGGTCTTTCTTAGTGGGTTGACTTGTTAGGTTTGAATCCTAGCTCTGTCTTACAAGTTACATGAATTTAGACAAGTCCCTTAGCCTCTTGTCTTGATATCATCCCTTAATCGGGGACTAGCCAGACTATCTCACATGGTGCATCAAACACGCAGTATTATAAGCCAATGTGAAGGTTAGCTGTAAATACACACACACACACACACACACACACACACACACACACACACACACGCATTCCCTACCAGTGACTTATGAGTGGTCAGTCTTCCATGACTACATTTTTCTGCTTTGTGAAATGGATATGACCAAAAACAAGAGATCATGAGTCCGTGAAACAGGGCATGGGGGACATGTACAGAGGAACAAGTCAGCATCAGAGACCCCCCTGGGTACCATGCTGGGCTCCAGTAATTCTTCATCACTTGAGTTGATAACAACTGTATTTGAAGCTCTTGTTGTCATATCATTAAATACAATCAGATGGTAACAAAACCCAAATGATTAGAATTCTATTGCACGCCTTGAACCCCAGCACTCCAGAGAAAGAGGCAGGCAGACCTCTGTGAGTTTGAGGCTAGCCTGATCTACATTGTAAGTTTCAGGACAGCCAGAGCTATGTAGAGAGAGACCCTGGATCTAAAAGAAAAGGAGGAGAAAGGAAGAAAACTTCCTGATCTTAAATATCCAGACGCCCTGCTCTGGCTGGTACTGTTGATGAGTACCTAAGATTAGCAAAGCAAACCTGGATCCCCACTTTGAGTTATCTCCAGTTTAAATCCCCTACTGTTTAAAGAAAACCATTAAGAGAGAGAACACTGAAGTAAAGCAGAAGTAGGAAACTTCTATAACCCAGGCCCTCTCATCCTCACCATTGGAGACTTAACAAGGTATTTTTAATGCAAAGACAAGTGCTTCTTAGGGATCAATAATGCCTTTCTGTTCTCCACCCCTTCCCCAATAGAAGTGAAGACAGATGTCACATCAAGCCCGCTCGATGTTAATATAAGGTAATAATCTTTTGGGAAAAGCCAGGTGGAAAGATGGGGAGGGGTGGAGAGGGGAGCAGGTCCCTGAGGGAGGGTAAGGAGCACCTGAAAGTCACCACTGTGTTCACTTGTGTCACGCTGTCACTCACAAAGGAGGGTTACTAAGTCAGGCGTCTGGGTACCAAGGATGTCCAGCAGTGAAAGAGCAAGGCCTTCTGAGTGTTGGTCAAAACCTAGGTCAAGAACAGGCAGTAACAAGAGTCAGTCAGCATAGGGCTAACAGGCAGTGCTCTCCATAAGAAGAAGAGTGGAGGCCAGAGGGAAGTTGCAAGCTATGCAAGGAAAATACCAGCTTGAGCAGATTCCCAAGGCTTACAGCAAATAGTGACTGAAGTACTGCAACCATGACTGATGTGCCCTAGACGACAAAAATAAAAACATCTATGCAAAAACATACGGATATCTAAGCACCCCGTCCTCCAGGCCTCTCTGGTCCTCAGGATTCTCTGTAGGGCCCTGGGGAATTGAACATGACTTCAATAACATACAAATAAAGACAGGGTGGGTGCATGCTCTTCAAATGACCTGAGGTCATTAAGCACACCCATCTGTGTATCCAGCTCTAAAGAAGCCAGAAGAGAGGTACCCAGATCCCCCAGCATACTATCCTTGTCTCTGAGTCATGTACCCTATAATCCCCCAACAGGTGTACTTGCAGGTGCCCAGATGGGTAGTCATCTTTCTCTACTGATGATGGGAATGGATGTAAGACATAGAAAACTCACCAGGCCAGTTTGGTGGTAAGAGGTTGGGGTGTAACCCCCACTTAAGTACAAGTTATAGTTCAGAGCATTGGGCTGCTATTAGCAAGGCAGTCCTCAAGTTCTACTCTGCACTGGCCCCTCTGGTCTATATTCCACACCTCTAGAGGCCAGAAATGGTGGATTTGATAGGTAACACACACACACACACACACACACACACACGCACACGCACATACACACACACACACAGAGTAGGATGTCAAAGACCCTTTCTTTTTAGTTACTCCTTAATTTGCCTTGGAGATCAGCTGCAAAGGGGACTGACAGCCAACCTGCCAAGTGTGACTCACAGCTTCACCCAGGAACTACACCCGCAGCCAGCCAGGAACTACAGAGCAGCTGCTTTGTCCCTGTCAGCAGCTCCATCTTTTCTTGGGAGGAGGCATTTCCACCTCCCAGGTGTAGGGAGACGAGGTGGTCATTAGCCAGGGGAAGTACTCCACACACAGGACAGGTTTGGCAAGCACAAAGGGTCTTCTCCATCCCACTCCTCAGGAGCCACTAGGCAGACACTTAGCAGGCCTAGAACACCAGCCATGATCCCAGGTCATTAGGTTTAAAGAGCATACGCCCACCCCATCTCTATCCACATTTCATTGAGGACTTGTTCAACTCCCTGGGCCCTAGGGTTGGGGGAGAGAGTATACATATGTCATTTGACCTGAGTCCCTCAGAAAAGTACTCTAATTATTTACCAGACATAGCCACCACCCCAATATCTGCTGGACATTTCTCTTTGGGCCTGTCTTGGCCACATAGCCAATGAGTATGAAATAATTTCAGGGTGGAAACTCTCTTTCGTTCCTTTGAATTGTAGGCTGGACCCAATGAAAATCCAGAGACTCCTGAGAAAGGACATGGTACTTGAAACTGTCCTTCTAGATCCTAAGCTGTAGAGAGTCCACACTTCATTCCTAAAACTCCACCATCTACAACCCTTCAGAACACGTGTGACAACAGTGGGCCACCTGTAAAGACATACCTCCATGCTTGATTCTAAACTACTGTGACATGTACTTCTGTGGTTTTCACACTCCTAGAGCGACTGTGAGGCACGATAAGCCTCTAGAGATTATGAGCAGGGTTCTGAACCAGGACTGATGGGCAATGTTCTAGAATATTCTGCTGTCAGTGAAGGCATCCATAGATCCTTTCAGATTTTAGTGAAACAGCAGCTGGCAACATGAGGACCACACAGATCTATTCTGTGATCCACAAGCTGGTGCCTCCTAGTGTTCTGACCTCTGCCACCTAGGACAGGCAGAAGTCTATGGGAGAAGAACAGCGCCTGTCTTCCCAACCCCACAGTGCCTTACATCTGGGATCCTAGCCTGACTTCCGCATTGAAACTAATCCTTTGCTCCCCTTTGACAGGGGCCCAGTTCTAAGTACCTCTCAAGGAACCCGTCTGACTGGCTCTTCTGGCTCTACACATGACCTGAAGTTTGCCACATCTTCTTACTACAGTTTGCCAGGACTCTCTGTCGCCCTAAGAGATCAGAGCAGTCAGACAGAATGGGCCTACAAGAGCAAGTCAGGTAAAGGAGAATACACACAACCAGTGCCCTCTGGCCAGGCTCTCATATCTGAGGATAGGATCTTGTGTGTGTGTGTCTGTGCATGCATGCCTGCATGCGTGCATTGTGTGTGTGTGTACTGGGTACATGTCTGATAGTGAGGCTTGAGTATAGTCACCAGTACTTATGACACAATCCTGGGTGATAGAATGTCAAGCCAAACATATTTGGGTAAGAAGTGAACTGCCTGCAGCCCTGTCACGCACCACCTCACATCCCAGGCCCTCCCAGAAGTATCTTCTGGGAGCCGATAGGTCTCCTGTCTCCTGCTTGTCTCTTGTTAGTCTTCCTGTCCTTTGCTATAAGAACAGAAGCAGTATTTCCCTCAGGGGCAAAGGCATTCCCTTCGCAGGTTGTCCACTGGTTCTCTGAGGCAATAGACCATGTCTGGCTAATTATCTGTGGAGAATAGTCAAGCAGCCTCAGGCTACCTCAGACTGTGTCTTGGCATGCAGTTGAAGCTAGCTTCATCTCAAATCCAAGCAAAACCACCATACAATAAAATATACAGAAGAGATTTTGGAGAGGTGGCATCAAGGGTCTCAACTCTACTTAATTAAGATCAAAGGCCCTTCCCTCTGGGTCCCAGGGATGGAAAGCTGAACAGCATTTCTTACCATTATTAATCATTAAAGGCCAGCCTTGGTGGTATTGACCTATGGCTGTGCCACAGATTTACTTCCCATCTTTAATCATGACAGCAGTAAATTGCATTCCTGTTACTTCATTCCCTGCCCCAACCTGTGCCTGCTAAGTTTTGTGGCTCAAAGTTGGCTAAACAAAATTAAGAGCCAGAATCCCTTCAAAGGATGATGGGGACGTAAAGGCCCACAGAAGCCACATATGAGTTCTCTCCGATCCCGGAGATACGGGTCCATTGTGGACTCAGTGACATCTCCGGGGAAAGCTGAGCTTTTCTCTAAATATTCATAAGCAAGACTCTAAAGGGACTCACTAACTGCCTAAGAAGTGTCAACACTAAGCTTGAAAAAAATGTGGGAAAGACAGAGACAAAGAGACTGGATATGGGAAGGAAAGACCCAAGGCCTGACCATGCCATTATGGCCACGCACCAGAAAGACCATGCCAAGACCGTTGTGTGTTCTTCATCCACACTCATTTTACAATCCATGCTTAAGGAATACTGTGCCTGTATCCACATTTAGGTTGTAAGCATCATGCACCTCTGATGTGTGTGGGCCCAGTCTGCAGCTCTGCATCTTCCCAAGACTGAAGTCCTTAAAGCCATCAACTGCTGAGTAAACCTTTACGGTGAGTCAAGCATCCAATGGCAAATGTCTACTGATCAAATGGTATGACATCAGCCACTGGGGCCACAGGTGTGGACAGTGCCACAGCTTCCAAGCCAGGCTCCATGACAACATAGTCAAAGTCCTACAGTTACTTGGGGAGAGGATCATGAATGAGTCCAGGGACTAAGGACTCACATATGGTTTTAAATCGAAGAATCCTAGATGACATCATGGACTGGAAATGTCCTATGCCCACCACAGAAGACACTAATTACCTCTCATACTTCCTCTGTGCTTTCGGTTACCAAACTCATACTGCAGGAAAAGGGACTCCCATCTGTCAGCAGGCCTCAATAGGCTTCCAAACAGAATCACCTGCTATTCTTTGTCTGTGCTACACATCCAGTGGTCTTTGCCCCAGGTCACTGTGCATTATATGAGCCTATGGACAGAGGCTGAAACATCATCATCCCCTGATTCCCCACATCATGGAAAGGGGTATAGAAGCTTCTAAAGTGATAACACTTTGTGGGTGCCTCCAAGCACCGTATGTTTCTCTATCCGTTCTATTTAGTTTCTCTCTTCTCAGTTTGTCCCAGCAAACCTTAGGAAGAGGAAGCCTCTCCCTCTCCCCATTAGTTATTGCAGCCTCTGAAGGACAAGGAAGTACGAGAAGTTACCAAGAACTCATGGAGGATCTTCTTTCCTCTTCTGCTTGTAGATTATAATCTGAGAACTCTGATGGTAGCAGGCATATGACTGTAAAGTCAATGAATAGAACAAATGGGAGAATGGGTGGGGATTTAGCATCTCTCAGGGCCTGACGTCTTAGCCAAATACCAAGAGCATACTATGTCCTAAAAAGCCAAGCTGGCTGAGGGAGGCTGGCCTTCCCAAGGGCAGCTTCTTAAGGCAGGGAAACAAGATCATGTGACCAGGCTAACAGATAGAGGCAGCTTCCAGAGGCAAGCCCGCTGTCCCTCCTGCTACACCAGCCAGTGAAATGATTTCAAATGACTTCCCATCCTCAGCCTCATCACAGTGTGTGCACAGGCAAAAGTCCCTAATGATGCAGACATGCCCACCTTCACACCAGTGGCTTCACAGGCTAGAGCGAAAGATGAGCAAGCTTGTGACTTCCCCAAAGGGGATATATGAGGGATACACACAGGAGACAGAAGCATAGATCCAGAATGATGGAGAATCTCAAAGTCAGGAGGTAGGGAAGAGAGAGACACAGAAACACACTCTGTAGGAAGAGAAAGGTCCCTGCCACCGTGGCACACTTTACTGAAGATACCTTCACAGGACTGGGACAGATAAGGATCTGCTTTCTATGGAGAAAGCACCTTCCACTTATTGTAGAAACATGGCAACTGGCAGAAGAAGACCACAGGGCTGAGGACTTGGGACTGAAGGACAGCAGGGAAGGTGGAGGTGGAGGCCTGAGTGTCCTCCATACCAGACTCAGCAAAGATGCTGGTTTCTAGCCCTTATCGGACCCTTGCCTGAGATGACCTGCAGTCTCCACTGTTAACACAGTCTCTGGAAGACTTAGCAACATAAACAGTGGAGACCGTTTATGGAGTCTCAGTCCATATATGGACTCATATGGACTTATATGGAGTCTCAGTGGAGACTGAGGACCTTTATTTAGCTCAGGATGAATCTCATGGCACCAAGGCTCTTATATCTGAGGAATTCTTTGTTATGAGATTGTTCAGTAACCACAGGTCAGAAACAGTGTCTCAGATGGCACAGATTTCACTCACAAAACTACCCAGATAAATCCTTGAAACGAGTTCTCTCAGAGGCTGGCAAGTCTGACATGGAAAGAATACTAAAGAGCAGGAAATGACTCCTGGTCCAGAGGGGAGGACCAGAAAGACTATTTACAGCCCCAAGGGACTGTCTATCTAGACATACGGCAGATCATAAACAAAGGAGACCAGAAAGCCTAACCTTGCACCTGTACTCAGAGAAACCAAGCTTGGTGTCTGGCATGTAGCTGGCAACTATACTTATTTGTTAAATGCTTTTGACAAGATGATTGAACCCCACTCCTGATTCAAGATTAGATTGTGCTGGTGAAAGAGCACATCTTACTCAGAAGAAAAAGAAGTGTATATAACAAAAGCACTGTGTTTTAAAATGTGAATAAGCTGGGGAGTGATTCTCCAAGCCACCTGGCAAGAGAGATGTGACCAGGGTTGGGAAACTCCCAGTGTGTGAACCAGTGTGTGTGTGTGTGTGTGTGTGTGTGTCTGTGTGTCTGTGTGTCTGTGTGTCTGTGTGTGTGTGCACAGAGTGTGCAGTGATGGAGTGTGAACCAGTGTGTGTGTGCACAGGGTATGCATTGATGGACACAAGCTTGGGTTTTGTTTTCAGTGCTGAAAACGAAACCCAGTGACTTGAGCATCCTGAATGTACTCCTCCACCAAAGTCACCTCCCAGGTCACTGGTCTAGGATTCCAAAGAATCATGTACAGGGTGAAAAAAGAAGGAGGAGGAGGAGGAGGAGGAGGAGGAGGAGGAAGAGGAGGAGGAGGAGGAAGAAGAAGAGGAAGAAGAGGAGGAGGAGAAAGAAAAAAGAAAGAAGGAAAAGGGAAGAAAGAAAAGAAAAAAGAAGAAAAACTCTCAAGCATGAATGGAGAAAAATAATTCTGAACTTGAAGAATGTGGTCAGGAAAACTGAATCCCAGGATAAATTTTTCTGTCCAATAACAACAGTAATAATAGAAATAAAAAACAGTGGATATTTTATTTATAGATCTACTTGTCTATATGTGCACAATGTGTGCAGTACCCACAAAAGCCAGAAGGCGGCACTGGACTCCTACAACTGCAGTTTTAGGCAGTTGCAAGCCACCTGTTATGGGTGCTGCAAACCAAATCCAGGTCCTCTGGGAGAACTACTGTGAACCACTGATCTGTGTCTCCAGTCCTATGGGCCCTGTTACAATGTAACTAGAGCTCAGAGAAGGTTATGACAGCTCCGCCTGCACTGTCAGTGCTGGCGATGACACAGAGTCACACTCTACAGCCACAATTTCATTTTTTACTTCACTGGCGAAGAAAATCATCTTCAGAATAGAAAAGGCACAGCAAACTGAACAAGAAGTAGCAGAAACCAAGGTTGCTGAAAGAGTCGGAAGAGCATAACAACTACTGCCTTCTGACCTAGAAAAATAGCCTCCAAATATACAGAGAATGGCTCAACCATCTTTCTGGGATCTGAAGAATCATAAGGAATCAGGGAGATGAGCTTGTGCCAATCTAGGGCAGATGTTAAGAGTAAAACGCCCTCAACAAACCAGTATACAGCTAGCAGGGATAGTCATTTAATGTTGGTTATCATTTCTTGGCAAAACATCCATAGGCAAATGTAATAATCCTGGAGTGCCAAATCCTGCAGCACCAAATCCCACCAGGCCTTTAATGCCCAATGGTGTCTCAGTATTTTGGGACAAGACAGAGCAATAAGAGGCAGAAGCTGAAACGAGATGATGAAGCCATAACAGAACTGCGCTACCCCTGGTGGCCACAGGAAGCAATCCAGTAAGGAGCACCCCTCCATGACCTCTGCATCAGCGCCTGCCTCCAGGTTCCTGCCCTGTGTGAGTTCCTGTTCTGAGTTCCTTCAGTGATGGACTACAATGTTAAACTGTAAGCCAAATAAACCCTTTCCACCCCAATATGCTTTGGTCATGGTGTTTCATCACAGCAATAGTAACCAAGACAGATATGTTTCTAAACTTGGTGTCTTTTACCTGTGGGAGTGCTGGGGCTCAAGCTGAAAAAAAATAGTAGGTGTGGTCAGTGCACACATGTGAGCCCTCTCGTCTGAGCACTGAGAGCCCGATGATACACACCCAACCCTCCTGGAAAGGTGCGGCAGATTCGCTTCTTGTCCCCATGAGCCTCTCTCTCTTCTGCTGCCAAGAATGGGACATAGGGTGTGTGTGTGTGTGTGTGTGTGTGTGTGTGTGTGTGTGTGTGTCTGAGACAGAGACAGACAGACACAGACAAAGAAAAAGAGACAGAGAGAATGTGTGTATCAGAGAGAGAATGCAAGTTTTGTGTATATGTGTAAGAGTATGTGTGTGTATGAGAGTGTGTGTGAGAGTGTGTATGTGTTTAAGTGTGTGTAAGAGTATGTGTGTAAGAGTATGTGTGTAAGAGTATGTGTGTAAGAGTGTGCTTGTGGGCATGTACTTGGGTACACACCTGTTTAGGAATAAGAAGAGATACCAGCACAAAACCCAAAAAGGAGCAGGAACAGAAAAGTCTCAGAAGACATAAAACCAGAGTGACCATTTTAACGTGCGAAAGGTCTAAGGAAAACACAGGAAATGAAACACAAACTCGGCAGATCTGTTTCCCAGACAGCCAGTACCTGTTGTGTGTCTCCTGCATGTCTGCCTCTTGTGTGTCTTGTGTCTTGTGTGTCTTCATGTGTGTCTCTTGGCGTGAGAAGAGCAGAGGAGCTTCTTTGCTTTGGTGACAAGAGCACCCTACAGAGCAGCCCCACCGCCTCAGAGCCACCTGGCCCTCTAATAATTACAGCAAGAGTTAAAATTCCTCTCCTCTGGTCCTCTTGCCAGGAGACACCTCTGATTTACTCCAGTCTTTCAGTAAGTCACCAAAAAAGGAAAAAGGGGGACATCCAAGTTAAGACCCCCATACCCTGCAGCCTCCATCGGTTCCCTCCCTAGCTCAGCCCTTGGGTACCAAGAACCTCAGGCCTCATAGGTAAAGCATAGACCCATTGCCAACCCCAAGACTAAAATCAAAATGGCCTCTCTTATCTTTTCACAGGACTATCCTTAAAATCCAAAACAAGACTGGATCACCAATCCTCCATGCTACTCTATTCGAAATCTGACTTGGAAGGTAATGATTGGCTGATTTTAAGTGACTGTAGACGTTACTAACCCAGACACAAGGAGGTAAAAAGCACAACATTAGCTGGACCCCTGCTGATGAAAGCCGTCCTTCAGCCAGGCAACCTCAATTAAGGTCCATAGCCAAGGCATCATCCCTGGTACACAGCACCAAGGAAAGACTGAATCAGAGGCAGGAGCATGGATGTTTTGAAAGGAAAGAAAACAGTACCCATGATTGGAGGCAAGTGGGAAGATAATGGTTGTTATACCTAGCTCATCCAATGACATTTTTTTGTGCACTGAGAAGGATATTGAAACAAACAAAACCTGATCCAAACCCTAATGAGAAAGAAGAAACAGGCCCGAGGAAAGAGGACCCATGCTTAGTGAGTGCACACTACAGGCCCCACATTGCTGTGGGCCTAGGAAACCTCTCTCTGCCTGTGTGGCCTCGCCCTCCATTACATCCTCTTACCCCTCAGCTACTTAAGAGGTGATTTTAAAATCAGTTCCCCCAGGGTCCACACACATGGCATTTCAGCCATTGAAACAGAGAAAGGGGAAGGTTATAATAAGAGTTAACTTAACCGTTATTTAGGGATTCTTGCAGAATACTGTGGGCTGGGAAGGGCCCCCAGGAGACAACTCCCTTGCTCATCCAGCTTATACCAAGTCATGGAGGGGAACCTGGGCACATCTCTGAAGAAGGGGAATTAAACAGACAGAGTCTCCAGAGTGAGACAGAATGGCCCACCCAGGACAGGGCTAGAAGTCTGTCTCCATATTCAACAGCCTTGGTGCAAGGAGAAACTCCCACATTTAAAGTGGGCCTAGGCTGTGGCTGAGTTTGTGAGGTAGGGCTGCCCATTGCTCAGAGGTGATCCTGGACTAGTCACTGATTTTCTCCTCCCTCCTCTCATCTGCGGTCATACTAAAACTTCCAGACAAGCCTTACTGGGGACCAGTGCAGGAAGATTTGGGGTGCAGAAAGGACCTTGGCAATGGGATTTTGTAAAGAGAGAGAGAGATGGGGCTCAATCACAAACACAGGCTTGACAGGCAGGAATCACATCCAAAGGGCAGGGAGAGGTGATTGGGTGGAAATGAGGTATCACAGGAAGGGGATTCACACTGAAGGCAAGCCAGAGTGATCAGACACCGGTTTGATGGATCTGGACCACTAAGCAGCCAGGCCCAGGATTGAGATGCTCAGGCCTCGGGGTGTGAAGCTCCCACTAAACAGGTTGAGCGAGGCACTGGCTATGACTAGGTTTCAGAAAGAAGGGAGCAGGTGGGTCAAGGAGACGACTCAGGAGGTGAGTAAGCTTTGGCCACACAAAGGTTTCTCTCAGTGGAATATGGGGATCGTTGTTGTGACTCTGTGCGGGAAATATACACGGCTCAAACATTCATCACAAATTCTAGTGTTCAGTTCTATCAAGAAGAGCCATAGAAGAGAGGCATCAAAATAGAACGGAATCAAAGTTGGTTCTTAATCAGATACAGGGGGCAGGGGTCAAGGGGGATGTGCTATTGGGAACTGTGTGTACCAGCCCTTGGCCTCTGAGCCACTGTAAAGATGAGCCTTCTTTTCTTCATGGCACAGGTGAAGGGCTAGGTTGTGAGCAGGGTTAGGGTGTGACCAGGGCTAGGGTGTGAGCAGGGTTAGGGTGTGAGCAGGGTTAGGGTGTGACCAGGGTTAGGGTGTGACCAGGGCTAGGGTGTGAGCAGGGTTAGGGTGTGAGAGGGTTATGGTGTGAGCAGGGTTAGGGTGTGAGCAGGGTTAGGGTGTGAGAGGGTTAGAGTGTGAGCAGGGTTAGTGTGTGAGCAGGGCTGGTGATATTGCAGGTGACACAGGTCTTATGATACAGATCTACCTCTTCTGGCCTGGTACAGCCCTGTCCTCACCCTCTAGGGGACAGATAATATTCTCATCAGAATAGAAACAGAGACCACAGGAAAGGAGAGGTAGTCTTTTTCTATTTAACCCAAAATCAATAGGTGGGGATTACAAGAAATAACCCTGCTCTGAACCTCGAACTGCGTTATAAAGACTCAGAATTAAATGAACTAAGGCCATCCCTTGGCTCCTGCTGGGTTTCCTAGGCTCTCTGGATGTCCAGTCTGAAGATCATCTGAAGCTGAGGCAACAAGCCACATGGTTTTCCTTGAGACCCAATTATCCAGTTAGAGCCACTTTCTTCAAGCCCTACCTTAGGAGGCTCTTCTTCCCGGGAGGATGGAGAGAGACCAGAGTTCTAATTATCAGTTCAACAATTCAATTTGCACACCACCCCCAAGCCCCAACGCCTCTCACCCTGAAGGTCTGAAGCCCTTTTCCTTTTCCTGAGCCACCGGCTAGGGCTGATGCTTAATTCGAATATATGCGGTATTTTTGGTAGGTCCTCTTTATCTGTTCGGACTGGGGAATCCTCTCCTGTCTTGACTTGCAATGGTGATAGGCAGATCCAGAAATCAGCAAATATCAGAGAATTACTGGGAGATAGATACAGTCCTTGGAAATTCTGACATAAATTTCTGACATTCAGACTAAATCTCCCTTTAGAATACATAGTCCCTCTGCCAGTTTCCAAAGACCTCTGACAGCTAGCCCCTGCCGGCCATCTCCTCTGTTAGCGCCACAGTCAGCAGATACCTGCTCCACACCAGGTATCCAGTGCTTTTGTAGTTTTTCAACATGTGTCTCCAGTCTCCCCACGGGGCAGTGGAGGGGCGGGAGTGGGGGGGTAGCACCACCTGTCCCCCACCCATCCCCTACCCATCCCCCAGCCATCTGCCTGTTCTCCACCTACTTCACTTCATACAAGCATCACTTTGTCGAGCTGACATTCACCAGACGCCAGGACCACAGCAGCTCCTGTAAATCAGCCACTGAAATGACTTATTCCATGACTATTCTATTATTACCTCCTGTTGAATAATTTGATGAATGTGCTTCACTGGTAGAAGCTTGTGAGTTTTCTGTTTGTTTTGGTTTGGGTATTTTTGAAATGATGAGATCATAAATCTCTTTCCTTTTGTCCTTGTTTTCTTTTTTCTCTCTGGTTTGTTTTCCCTCCAAATGTGCTTCCTTTTGATGTTGCTCCCCACACTGAAAGAATCAGACAGCTTCCATCAAGGGGTCTTTTGGGACACACTCATGAATGAACCTTTCGACAAGCGGGAAGAGGAATCCTTTGAAGTAAGTGGGTGAAGAGCTGCAATCCCCTACATGGCTTTATGTAGCTGCATAAGACTTGGGAATAGCAGGCCACACTTTGCATTCTTCCAGAGCATTCCTGGGGACAAATGGTCTGAGCAGGAATCTCCTATCACAAGGCCCTCACGGCCCCAGGGCTTTGCCACCAAGGACATGAAACACAACCAGACTTACTCATTGCCTAAGGTAGTCTGATTCAATCTAGATTTTGAGTCTTGAAGCTACCCTGCGCACGTGCTTTTTAAATATTGAAATAGTGAAAAGGCCGTAAAATAAATGTTTCAACCCTCTTCACCTCCCAGACATAGCTGTTATGTAGTATAGTTATAGACACATCTGGAAGTGTTAATACATATTAAGTAGAGTGATCATTACAGTAGCACAACCAGTCACCATGAGTCCAGAATATACATTCTGTCTATTTCTTACTTTTCCCTTAATAATATATTTTGGAAATCTGTATTTCATTACATATCTTATACATGTATTTAACTGATACCAAATCCCTAGCATTGGGTATTTTTCCAGAATATACACTATATAATACATACACATACATACATACACATACGCCCGAGCGCACACACACAGACACACATGAGAGAGAGAGAGAGAGAGAGAGAAAGAGAGAGAGAGAGAGAGAGAGGGAGGGAGGGAGGGAGAGAGAGAGAGAGAGAGAGAGAGAGAATCTGCATCTTTGACTCAAAAGATAATGATAGCTGTATGTGATGGTCTACACCTGTAATCCCAGCACTAGGGAGAGGGGGAGGGGGAGGGTGAAGCAAGATGACTGTGAGTTTGAGTCAGCCTGGGCTACAATGTAAAGCCCTGTGACACCCCACCCCCCAAAAAAGCAAGTTTCTGTTCAAATACATTGGGCTGTTTTCCTTTTCCCAAGAGACCGAGAATCCCCCTTCACAACGGTCCTCACAGGGACCCATCTGTCAGAGTGGGAAGAGTGATGTGTTTATTAAAAGCTTTTTTCACGCTCAAAAAGTATTTCATAAGTCACTTGGGTTTTTTTTTTACTTCTGTAAGGAATCTTTTGAAAAGCATAGCTGGGGTGTATTTGATATATACATAATTTACACACGTATGTGTGTGTATGTATACATATGAATGTGTATATAATATATTTAATTATATAAAATTTAGGAGATCCAACCAGAGGGCCCTGAAACATTGAGAATTCATTTTACATTTTTAAAAGTCACTCTGGTAGCTTTATAGATGGTGGGTTGCAATGGAGAAACTGACGACAAGGAGAAAAGCAACTTCACAATGTCAGTACTGGTGAACTGCTCTGATGTCTGGTTGCTTAGGAACATGACATAAGATGCAGTGACACAGGCAGACAGGAGAAGTAAAGAGGGGAAAGTCGTGCTTGCAGGTTAAGTCAGAAGCTTCCACACTGAGTGCTGAGCACCTGTAAGAGATCCAGATAAAGTCCAGTTAAAAGCCAAGAATAAGCTGGGTGGTGGCGCACGCCTTTAATCCAAGAACTTCGGGGGGCAGAAGCAGGCAGATCTCTGAGTTCAAAGCAAGCCTGGTCTACAGAGTGAGTTCCAGAACATTCAAGGCTACACAGAGAAACCCCATCTTGAAAAATAACACAAAACAAAAAAAGGCAAGAGTAGTCCATCGAGAGCCTCAGAGAAAGATCGTGGTTGGAGAGGTTGCTATGGAGTCTTCATTAGTTTATAGAGTTCTGAAGCCAAGCAGCAAGGAGAGATTGGCTTGAAGAGCAGAAGGTGACTTTCAGGTCTGGATGCTAGGCCCAAAATCTAGGTGTTGAAAGCCTTGGTCCTTCTGAGAGCTCTGCCCCAGACTCCATCCCCAGTGGTACCATGAAACCCCAATCCACTTGTTACTTCTGATTGCTATTACTTATTTTTACTTCTAAGATATATATATATATATATATATGCACCACAAGTCTTGGTAAGCAAACATTTTCTTATCCTAACAACCAGAGATTTACCTAGGAGGTACACATGCCGACTAAATCAAGTGGAGCAGCACAGCCTAGATAGGACAAGAACCTTGAGGGAGCCATTCGCTTGGGTCTATTGCCTGGGGAATTACAGTGGACACTGTATTTTCTGGCAAACAGAATATGGAATGTAAAGTGTAGTGAGAGATTGCTGGACAGGCACTCATCCCATCCCTGGGAAGGGTTGTCAGCAGGAACCTGAAAGCAGAAATGCCAGTACCAGGGCTTTAACCTCAAATTTCCCTGAAGCAATGGTGTCTCAGTAGGGAAAGAAGTTCAGAGATGAGGACCAGGCAAGCCAGCCCCAAGCTGTCCCCTTAACCTAGAAATTCCATGAACCACAAGCTACATCCCTGTAACTGTCCCACATCAGATGTAACTTCGAAAGTTTAAGGTCAGTCATTCACTTACTGTAGAAGGTCAACAAATTAATGGTACCCAATCCAGTATCATATACTGAATAATACCAACCATAGTATCCTCAACTTGGAGCTGAGTGGGGAACAGGTTCAATTAATCCCTAGCTCCACTCCAGAAAGCCAGCCTTTGTCATCTATCAAGAGAGATGCGAGAAAGAAACACTGTGAGGCCACACCTGTGGGCCAGTCATAGTCAGCAGCACAGCCTTGGCACAGAATGGTTCCATTTATGAACACATAGACAGCTAATGACTGCTCTAGGTGTTACAGAGCCATGGCGCCGAGTAAGACAGCCATCCTTGGTCATTTGTAGAATGCAGAGAGCTCGCTGCATACTTCAAATGTGAAAAACATGTTTGTAGTCTATAATCTTCATAGTTAAAACATGATTTTATATTCCCAAAAGATTTCGTAGCACACAAATACTAAACATGATTCTTCAGGGGGGCAGACAAGAGGAGGGTCTGATAGTAATGGGAGATTTCTCTTTGTTTTAATTTATTCATTTTATATCTTGATCACTGCCCCCCCCCCATTGCCCACTTCCACAATCCCTCCCTTATCTCCATCTTCTCCTCTGACAGGGTGGATGCACCTCCTGGGTATCTCCCCACCCTGGCACATCAAGTCTCTGAAAGGCTAGATGTATTCTCTCCCACTAAGGCCAGACAAGACAGCCAAGCTAGACGAACATAACCCACATACAGGCAACAGCTTGTGGGATAGCCCCGACTCCAGTTGTTCTGGACTCACATGAAGGCCAAGCTGCCCATCTACTACATATGTGTGAGACGGCCTAGGTCCAGATCATGTATGTTCTTTGGTTGGTGGCTCAGTCTCTGAGAGCCCCAAGGGTCCAGGTTAGTTGACTCTGTTGGTCTTCCTGTAGAGTTCCTAACCCATTTGGGGCCCTCAATTCTTCCCCCAACTCTTCCATAAGAGTCCTCAAGCTCCATCCACTGTTTGGCTGTGGGTGTCTATATCTGTGTGAGTCAGCTGCTGGGTGGAGCCTCTCAGAGGATAGTCATGATGGACTCCTGTCTGCAAGCATAACAGAGTATCATTACTAATCATGATTGGTACTTGCCCATGGGATGGGTCTCAAGTTGAGCCAGTTATTGGTTGGTCACTCCCTCAGTCTTTCCTTCATCCTCCATCTCTGCATGTCTCATAGGATAAAATTTGGGTCAAAAGTTTTGTGGGTGTGTTGGTGTCCCTATCGCTCCACTGGAGTTCCTGCCTGGCTACAGGAGGTGACCTCTTCAGGTTCCATATCCCCAGTGCTGTGAGACTCTGCTAGGGTTACCCAATAATGGGAGATTTCTTTATTCTTTTTATCCATTTGTGTTTTTATGTAGCATGTACTTGTGTGCGTGTGCAAGTGCATGAGTGCACTCATGCTACAACATGTGTGTAGAAGTCAGAGGACACGTCTTCTTGCTTCCCTTACTGAAGCAGAGTCTCTCTTGCTTTTCTTTTTTTGATATATTTTAATGCCTATTATATAATTACACATTGATATATAATTGGGAATTGACCTCAGGACCTTTGGAAGAGCAGTCAGTGCTCTTAACCACTGAGCCATCTCTCCAGCTCCCTCTCTTGCTTTGCTGCTGACACTTCTGCATACTCCATGTGGTCTCAAGCTTCTGGGTAATTCTCCTGTCTCACCACATGAATGCTGGGATTACAGAAGCATGCTACTCCATCTGGTTTTTTACATGGGCTTTAAGAGTGAAACTGGGGTCATTAGGCTCGGGTGGTCATCACCCTGGCTCTGGAAGATTTCTTTAAGAAAATCCTTCTAGCTCTTCTGCACTTCTGCAGCCCCCCTCCTCTCTCTCTCTCTCTCTCTCTCTCTCTCTCTCTCTCTCTCTCTCTCTCTCTCACACACACACACACACACACACACACACACACGGTTGGCATTTCTTAGTCATCTACGAAAATGTCCCCTGGCACAGCTGGAGTCAGAAAAGTTATTGACTGACAGAGGATCATCAATTCTACTTCTGGGCCACTTCATTTTGTGATCCTTTTGTAGTCTCTTCCCAGCACCTATCAGTCTGTGTTTAGGGAAATACTCCGTGAGTTGGCAATCGAGGGTGAAATGGAAGATGACCTGAACATACCCCTGAGCAAGCTGATGGAAGGTGAAAACAGGAAGAAGCTGGGAGCCTTGTAAGTAACCGACAAGGGTGACTGGTCAGTGGGTTCTGGAAAGCCAGATGTGGAATGGGACAAGTGTAAATTCCACAACCCGGGGAAAAGAACCGAACTAGGGTTGGGCTGCAGCCCTGAGTCAGGAAGCAATCCCAGGCCAGGCACAAAGACATGGATAACACACAGGAGGTAAATGCACATAAGACCCAAAGTTAAGAAGGAAGGAAATCATATGGATGCAAAGCACAAGACAAGAACAAAGGCAAGCAGTGCCTTTGCTTTGTATGCTGATGTGGATGCGGGTGAAAGGCATTGACCATTGTGGGAAGTGGTGCTTGGTTGGACTTTCACGTTAAAGATAAATCACATTGGCTAAGCCTGCTTGAAACTTTCCTACCAAGACTGATTTTCTGTCTGTCTCCTACGGATATCAGTGTCACATTTATTTGGTTGGATCTAGTGATCTGAATGACTGCATCTCGTTTTGAGTTTCAAGGAGTTTCCAATAGCTCTGGCCAGTTAGTGGACAATGTTATTTTCTAAGCCGTGTCTAGATGTAACCCCCATGTGATTCAGGTAAGCGGTTAGAAAATACGGTGACAGCAACTTAACTCATACCGCTACCCTGGCAGTTGGACCTCCCTGTTTGCCCTGGGGCCCAAGATGACCTTCACTGGACTCTTTTTGAGAGGCTTGGGATCCAAGAACCCACAGTTATACCCTGATCATTTACAGGTCATGTGGGAACCACTGCACAGACGGCATGTGTCTTCCTTAATTCTTGAGAGTGCTGACCAAAAGGGAATCTGAGTCACACAGTCGAGCCCTCTGTCTCCCTTTCCCTGATATAAGATTCCACAGCCTCTAGGCCCACAGCGCCATGTAGTGTGGGATGTAAACATGAATTAAGCTTGACTTTTAAAGATGATTTACATTCCCTTCAGGTTGAAGAAAAATTTTGAAAAATACAAAGAAACAATTATGTGGATTATGAAGCAACGTGAAGGTAAGAACCATTCTTCCAGTCTACACCCACATCTGCTCACTGCCTGCCTGCTTGCTTCCAGTTAGGTTTATCCTAGCTAATACTTACTATTCAGGACCCCCTACTAAGGGAATGGCACCACCCACAACACTCTGTGTCTTCCTACGTCAGTTAACAATAGGACAATTCCCACAATCAAGACTGACCCACAAACATGCCCACCTGATCTAGATAATTTCTCATGAAGACTCTCTTCCCATGTGACCCTCAGTTGTGCTAAGTTTAGAGTTAAAATGAACCAGTATAACTTGCAACTTGAAAACAAAAGAATACAAAGCTGGGTTCACCATAATGTACCACCATCATGCTTGCCTACACCCTGTCTCTCTAGACATCTGAAAGCCTAAAGCCTTTGAGCTGTCTATACAGAAAAAACAATGTCTAATTCAAGAGCAGCTTCCCCTTTGTGGTTCTGATATAGCTAGTTCTAAGAAAGTCTGTAGGCACCTTTGAGATGCTACTCACTTGCTTCCTGTGTTTGACTTACTGACTCATATTCCTGATAGACTGCCCCAATATCTCTGAACACACTAATTTCCAAGTTAAGGTTGAATTAGCGCACCATCATACAAGGAGTCACATCAAGAATGGCTCTGTGTGTTTTAAAGCCCTGCTGGCATTGTCTTGAAATTCTTAGTAATTTCAGAATAAGGGTCTTTGTGGTTTTATTTTGCATCATTAAATGAAATAGCATCTCCTATCCAGAACTATCTTTTCCAATGAATAAGCTATAAGAGGTGTCGGTGGTAGCACATACCTTTAATCCTAGCACTCAGGAGGCAGAGGCAGATAGATCTCTGTGAGTTTGAGACCAGCCTCAGCTAGGGTATGTTCCAGAACAGACAGAGCTACACAAAGAAATTCTGGGTACTGGGTGGTACCATACATGCACTTGAGAGATGTCACAGACAGCAGGTCCCCACTGTGGTCTCTAGCACCATGTTCAACTCACCATGAAGCACGGGAAGGGAGCTTGCCCCTGAAGCTATACTGTTATTTAAAAAGAAAAAAAAATGAACAAAATGATTACTATAGGAATGTGTTGCCATGAAAACTAAGTTAAATGGTCTTTGATAAGAAAATAACTTTTAAAAAACTTACTTTCAATACAATGTGAATCAAACATACATAAGATCTGGAGACCAAGGAGGATATTTTTAAAGATTATATGCTTCTGCATTCAATCTATTTTGAAACTGCCAGAACTGAATAGTAAGAAATAAACTACAGAGCAGGCGATGTGGCTCAGTTGGCAGAGTGCCTGCCTTACATGCACTAGGTCCTGGGTTCAAAACCTAACACTGCATAAATCAGCAGCTAAAGCGTGTGCCCGTAACTCTAGCACTCCAGAGAGAGTCAGGGGGATCAGGAGATCAACGCCAGCTGACCTACATGAGATCCTACGTCAATAAATGAATAAATAATTGAAAACCATGAATGCTGTGTAAGTAGAAAGAAATGATCACAGAGCCCCAGTCATCAGACCTCAAGAGAAAGGCTTTTCCCTACATCTTAAATAACACATTAACATTTATATTTTACATTAAAAGAACATGTCCCAGGTACATTTCCTCTGTTTTGAAAAGTTAGCCCTTGAGTTAGCCCATGTTTTCATTTCATAGCCATGCATTGCGCTGACCGCTGTGTCTGTGCTCTTAGTGAGCATACAGCCGCAAGCCTGCGTTCTCAAGACTGTGCTGGCCCTGCTTCACCTCTGCTTCTCGTCCAGCACTGGGCTGGCACATGTCAGGCACAGAATGATATTTGTTGAATGAATCAGTGAAAAACAGACATCTTGGAGTTCAGCACACACACACACCACTTTCCATTTCCAAAGGCCTTGCTCCCCTGGCACCCCTCCCCCTTACCTAGAGAGTGGCTGAGCCCTCAAAGCTTGACAGATGGAGTGTAACTTAATTCCCTACCATGTCACAACTGGCGCAGTCACCTTACTGAAAGCAGTTGTCATCACTCGTTGAAAACAGCTAGCCAGAAGATTCCAGAGAAGGCCATCACCATTACATACCTAATATCAACTCTGCAACAGCCCGAGAAGCCTGAGGAAAAGATATTAGTAAGCTGTCCCTCTCTCACGAGGAGATTACATCTAGACCACAGATGGGCTCAGGCAAAGATGAAGGTAAAGATGGCAGTGTGTTGGTGAGTTCACTGGGAGAGGGCTTTTCGTTTTTGTTTTTGGGTCAGGTGAGGCACACACATCATCAGAGCGCTGTCATGGCCAATATATGAAATGGACACCAACAAGAAAAGTGTTCTCAATATGTCAAGACACAGCTGCCTGTGTGGGTTGTTGGAACGTTGACTACGGTTTTAGTAGGCATGGTCAAGTCTTCTCCCTGTAGGGCCTGTATTAAGTAATGTGCGGGGGAACAGAATGGAGGAGGTAGAGAGAAGACTGAAGAAGCTGAACAATACCAACCAACCAGAGCTCCCAGGGTCTAAACCACCAGCCTGGGAGCACACAGGGAGGGATGCCCCAGTGTGGGGAAATTCGAGGGTGGGGAGGAGGGAGTAGGTAGATGGGTGGGGCACACCCTCATAGAAGCAGGAGGAGGGGAAATGGGATAAAGGGTTTCTGGGTGGGGGGGAATGGGGGAAGGGGATAGCATCTGAAATGTAAATAAATAAAATATCCAATTAAAAAAAGAAAAGAAACTGCATAGCAGGGCAGGAGACATGGCAGAGAATATAGGGCTCTTCTAGAAGACCTAAGTTCAATTCCCAGTACCCGTATCAGGCAATTCACAACTGCCTGCTGCCTGTAACTCCAGCTCTGAGAATCTGACCCCTCTAGCCTTGTTAGGCAACCACACATATGACATTCTCTCTCTCTCTCTCTCTCTCTCTCTCTCTCTCTCTCTCTTACACACACACACACAATTTAAAATAAATACTCTTTAATAATAAACTACCTGTTATCTATAAAAAAAATAGTTTCCTTGGTAATAAATTAGAATTGATATTTTAAAAATCAGTTATACACATGAACAGATACATAAACTATAGGACAAGTATAGGTTGGAGCTAGAAGGCTGAGGCAGGAGGATCACCAATAAGAAATCAGCCTGGTTTATATATCAAGACCTGACAGAAACAATGAGGAGCAATGGGAGGGAAAGAGGGAAAAAAGATGAACAAAATGAAAAAGGAAGGAGAGCTGAAGGAAGAGAGGAGGGAGGGTGGGAGGGAAGAGAAAGGAAAGGAAAAGGAAGGAAATAGAGAAAAAGAGAAAAGTTACCAAGCTATGAAGAGACATGAAGGAACCGAGTCCATCTTGGTGGCAAGACAGCAGACTGTATGGTCCAATGTTCTCACATTCTGGGACACTGACAGGCTGTGGAGGCTGCAGAGGCTATGCAGAGGGAGAGGTAGACAGGGCGTCTTCAGGGGCATGAAGCTGTTCTGTAGTGACTTCGGTATGACACCATAGTGACATAACACATGCCATTGGACATGTGTCTAAACCCACAGAAGTAACTGCCCCAAAATGGAGCCCAGTGTGAGCTGTGGAAGTGAGGAGGCAATGGTGTGTCAGCATAGGTTCATTGATGGTAACAAGCAAACCACTTCAGGAGAGATACCGACAGAAAGGCTGAGGCTTGGAAATGACACATTCCCACCCAGCTTTGTGTTGGCCTGCTCCACCACACACAGTGTGTTTTTGAAACCTGATAGAACATCTTACTTGGGACTGATATCATTGAGCCCTGAGTGGAAACTGTGTTTAAAATGTCAGTCACTGAGCATGCGCACAGAAGCTCAAAAAAATGAGGCATCTGAGCAGAGGCCTGAAAGATGAGTTTTACACCTTTAGTGAACACGTGCTCAGAGCACACATGAGCGCCCTGTTGTGAGAATTCCTGAGATGCACATGACAATAGCCCCATTCCTGTAAGACTATGATCCAGTTGAGAGAACTGGTCCACAAATATGCTATTTGGTGCTTTGTCACTGGGAGAAGGCAGGGTAAGGGATTGAATGAAGGGATGCTCTTGTCTCTTGAAGGCAAATGGGAAAGATTATTACTGGACCAAGCAGAGTACAAGCAAAAGCATGTCTAGGGTAGGGACAGTACCAGAGAAATTCTCAGGCATGGGGGTGAGGAGTACCGCAAATGCGGTACAAACAAGTATGAAGGCCCTGCGACATTTCCCCAGGACATCTGTAAATCAAGGAGACATGACCAGCCTTGATCATTTCCTGCCACTATGCTGAAATACTGAGGTCTTTAACTTAAGAAACAGGAAAATTTCTTTTGATTCACAGTCTCAGAGGTCTCGGTCCCCAGTTGCTTGGCCCTGTGCCTTCAGGCCCGTGCTGAGTGAATGTCACAGTGGAAAGTCTGTGGCTGAGCAAAGCTTCTACTGCACAGTGAGCAGGAAGCAGAAACGCCAAGGAAAGGGCCAGGGTCTCCATTTGACCCCCCAAGGTTCTTAGTCTTCTTCCAACTAAATCCACACCTCCCAAAGCCTCTACCAGCTCCCAGCAGTGCCATCCACTGGGGACCACACCTTCAAGGTGTAAGCTTTCTGAGGGAGGAAGATCCAAACCTTAGCATCCACTGACCGCACAGAGCCACTTTCTCCAGGACACTAAGGCATGGACAGTGCTCAGTAGCTACCGGAAGTAAACAGTTTAACAAACGCTTGCTCACATTATGTCCACTTACTTTAATCTCGAAGCTCTTTGAGTGGTTTTCCTACGAGATGGATCTCAGAGACCTCGGCTCTTCTATCAGAGTTCTTTATCATCTCAGAGTTCTGGTGTCTACTTGCCTGCACAGAATTCACAAAGCTAGAAGCCACATTTAATATGTCCATCAATGAGGACAATGCCCGTGAGCGCCCACATAGCTGCAAGGGAGCCAGGCAAGGGTCTCCAGCTGTTGTGTCCAGGGAGGAATTCCATCAGTTTGCCTTCCGAGGAAAATCAACCAGCCATGTTCAGACGATCCCAGTGGCTTTGTCTTCAGTGGGGTGGAATAGATTAGAAAACCAGCACCATCCACCATAGTGGATCTTCTGATCTCCATACATGCTCAGCACCCTCTGTCTCTCAGTCCTATGTGTAGAAGGGAAATCGAAGCAACTTAACCCAGCTAAACTCCTGCAAACAGAGGGAAGGGTTGTCCAGGTCACACAGATCACGGTAAGGGTTAGAAGTGTCACTAGATTTTGGCTCCCTCACATCCCTCCACCCTCCACTCCCACCCTGACCCTCCCTCACTTCCAATAAACTAAAGGAAACATTCTCTAATTAGCTTCATCATCAACTCTACTGGAGACACATAGCTTTTCTAAACACCCGCGGGATGTGTGTGATGATGCAGCACACAATAGCCCACTAAACAAACCTCAGCAAACATCATTTAAAATATGTCCTCCTGCCCCTATGCATTTTAATTAGCAACAGTGATGGTGTCACCAAAGGTACCACACCCATTGTCAAATATCAGCACACTTACATAATTCCAATGTCAAAGAAGAAATCATATTGATCTTTGAAAATATTAAGAATGAACTAAAGATTAAAATAAGACGGTTTCACTTCTAGGAAACAGCTAAAACAATATTGGGCCTCGCTGTTTCATCTCCTCATAAAATGCAGGGAGAGGTGAGGAATCGTGAAGAAAGGTGAAAATCCAAGGAGTAAATTAGCATCCAGAGCTAGGAAGGAAACTTACAAGACAGAAAAAATAGAATAAATAAAACATAAACCAGTCTGCAGAAAAAGTAGCAAAGCAAGCAGGCTTCCTGGCAAGACTGATCCAGGGGGAAAAAATGTTTTTTAAGTTATAAATATAAAGAAGGAAGACATATAAACAGAGGAAGCCAAGATTTTTTTTAACACCATATGCAAGCTTTGTATGGCAATAAATGCAAAGTTTTACATAAAATGATAATTTCCTAGAAAAATATAATTTATTAAAATGAAATCAAGAACAAGGCTTTGAAAACCTAAATTTGCCAGTGATATGTGTTGAGCTGTCTTCCCATAAAAGGACACGTTAAGGTCCTAACCTCCAGTGCCATAGAATGTGGCTTCATCTGCAAAGAGCATCCTTGGGAATGTAACTAGTCAAAGATGAAGGAACACTGAAGAAGGGAATGGTAAGGCAGGACCCTACCCACTTTCAAGCCATCTGAGGACACAGACTACCACAGGGAAACAGAGGCAGAGCCTGGGGGGATAGGGGGAATGTGTGCCTGCGGTGGCGGCCAATCACCAAGCACTTAGGGGGAAACAGGAGCCGCTTTACTCCCAGGTTTGAAAGAGCTAATGCCACCCACACTTCATTTCACACATGTTACCCCTGCAATAGTCAGAATATATTTCTTTTTTTTTTTTTTTTTGAGATTATCCATGTGTATGAGTGGTTCGCTTACATGTACATACCTGTACCATGTAGTCCCTGTGAAAGTTAAAAGACGGCATTGGATCCCCTGGAACTGGAGTTACAGATAGCTGTGAGCCATTATATGGGTGCTGGGAATAAACCTGGCCCTCTGCAAAAGCAACTAGTATTCTTGACTTCTAAGGCATCTCTCCGGCCCTGAGAACACAGTTCTCTAGAACGAGATGGCCTAGGTGAGTAGAATAAGAGTTTTCTATCTACCTGTGCATGCCCCAGCACCACACAAATGTACCATGGATCCAGTCTAGTCCCCTCATAGGAACAGATAAACTGAGTTGGTAGGAGTCACAGGCCAGCCAGCATATGGGTGCTCAGAGCAGAGATGCAGGAGCCGAGGATGCTGTGGCTCCATTCACCTTTGAAGGACATCTGTCACCTGCCTGCCTTCCTTGTCTCTTCTTCCCAGGTACATCAAAGTGATGGAAAAATAGCTGCCTACCACAGTGGGAAGAGCTTCCATATTTTCTTTCCTAATGGCACAGGCCAGATATAGTATCCACTGAGGAAGAGGGTTGTTCCAATTGACACCTAGATTGTTTGTGATTCTGGCCTAAGATGTGGGTTTTGACTGAGGACTGTGTCCTCTTCGGGGTCTAACCTTTTGGGGGTGGGGGGATGTCCCAAGAAACCGATTGTGTCTTAACCAACTCTCAGCTATCCGTCAGGGAACCTGGCTCTGCTCATCTTCTGCAAAGGAGTTGAAAAGCTTACATATATTGTTCTGGAAGACTCTGTACGAAAAAAGATCCGAGGCCTTGTTACCAACACTGGCCATGCCACCTTCTACAATGAGGACGGAGGGATCTGGTAAGTTTGCGTCTTCAGACTCCAACACTTGAAACACATAGAAACTGTGTGGTGGAAGTCTGTACATGCTGGGAACATGAGAAAGGGCACCCACAAAGGACGAGTGCAGACCCTGTCCTCGGAGGAGGTGCCATAGCATCCCCCAGTGTGAAAGGGCAATCATGGTCACTCTGACCGCAGGCTATTTATTGGCTTCACCTCCAAACACCTCTCAAAAGTCCAACCTTGTGAGAACTGACCCAGGAGGCCCTGGGTCCCACTATTCCAGAAGCTTTGGTAAGGGGTTTCAGAGACAAGCATACCATAGAAAGAATCCAGAATCAAAAGACATATTCTAAATATTTCATTAAAATCAAACTTGTTTCTTAAATCCCTTTACAGTTGAAGATAACTAGGTTCCCTCAAACCATCCCTCACTCTTTCTCAGTACTTCCTGATCCAGACGAGGTGGGTACAGTATGGGGGACGCATATTAGCTTGGGTTAGTTAACTTATTTTCATCAAAACCAAATTCACTTTTAATTCCAAAAGTCTCCTCTTATCCACTTTGCCTTGGCTTTCAGACATCATTCCCGGGTTGGCTTTCTTACCCTGAGTACCATCCACTCTCCCCTGAAGGTCATGTGTGTAGAATGTGCTGTCTGCAAAGTCACATCCCAGATACAGGACGCACATGGGCTTGAGGCCAGAAATGTAGTTAATGGTCACAACTCTTGTCTGGTGACATAAGTAGGATCTCTTCTCTCTAAAGTTTTAAGTCCAGAAGAGAACTTGGAGAAATATAGAATCTGGCCACTGTAGGTGAAGAAACGCGGACTCAAAGGGTGACAGTCACTTGCCCTGAGTTGTATAAAAAATTATAGGCACAGGATCTTAGGGCATTCACTCTCCCTGATATAAAGTTAGGTCTAAAAGCCATCAAACAGCAGCTACAGTCCCAAGATCTGTCAACAACCAAAAGGCAGGGAGACGGTCAGAGCAGAGGTGAGTGCTGACTGCATCCAGAGGATTCTACTCTTTGGGTCTTAGATCCATAGGGAAGAGAAGAACACAGAAAAAGCTCTGGAGAGAGCATAGGAGCAAGGAGAGAGGCTCAGGAGAGGAGGCTGTGCTGTGTGAGGCCAAGGGAGGCCATGACTGAGTCTGAAGACAGAACCTGGACTCGAGTAGACATTCTTTGTTGGGACCTCTCTATCCTACTATCTTAGGGTTACTATTGCTTCAATGACCAAAGGAGCAAGTTGGGGAAGAAAGAGTTTATTACACTTACACTTCCCCATCACTGTTTAGCAGGGAAGCAAGTCAGGGCAGGGACTCAAACGGGGAGAAACCTGGAGACAGGTGCTAATGCCGAGGCCATGGAGGGTGGCTGTTACTGGGTTTCTCCTCACGGTTTGCTCAGCCTGCTTCCTTATGGAACCCAGGACCTCTAGCCCAGGGATGACCATCTGGAGTGGGCTGGGCCCTCCCGCATCAATCACTCATTAAGAAAGTGCCCAAAGCTGGATCTTATGGAGGCATTTTCTGAATTTCTTAACTCTTCCTCTTAGATGACTTTAGCTTGTGTCATGTTGACCTAGCAGTCCCACCAAAACTTTGTGGGTCCAAGAGAAGGACGGGAAGTGGGAGGGTCAGAGGGACCAGAAGCCTGTAGCCTGGCCCCAGCACAGTCCTATCTGACACATCTCCTTCTCTTAGGTTGAGTCTGAGCAAACTTCTGGGCTATTACTTCCCCAAAGGCAAGCAGCGGCAGAAGGCCTGGAACTGGTGGGACCTGAGCATGCACGTGCATGCGCCCCCTTTCATGTGCATCACGTTGAAACTCAACAAGTACATCCGTGTACAAATACGGAGCCAGGACAAGGTCATCTTCTGCTTCATCCCCCCCAAGCAGAGGCGGATTTGTCTCAATATGGGCACCAAGTTCAAGGTAAAGTCTTTACTCCCCTGACCAAAAATCAGACAAAGGGAATCTAAGAAGGGAGTGAGAGTGGAATATATCACCCCGAGGACCCAGTCTACAGGACCTACTGCTTGCAACTAGGCTGTACCTCCTGCTTTCCATCATCCCCACCAATAATGCCATCATATTCAAAATCCATCAAGGGATTAACCCACATCTAAAAACACTGCCACACATAGAAGTGTGCCTTAGTAATCTCCAAGATGATTCTCAGTCCAATCACGTTTTACAATTGTCTTGGTTAGGGTTTCTGTTGCTGGAACAGAATACCATGACCAAAGCAAGTTGAGGAGGAAAGGGTTTCTTTGGCTTACACTTTCATATCACTACTGATTGTCAAAGGAAGTCCGGACTGGAACTCAAACAAGGCAGGAACATGAAGGCAAGAACTGATGCAGAAGCCATGGAGGGGTGCTGCTGGCTCTCTCTCCATGCTTGCTTAGCCCGCTTTCTTATAGAACCCAGGACCACAAGCCCAGGGATGGTACCATCCACAAAGGACAAAAACCTCCCCATCAATCACTAATTAAGAAAATGTCCTATAGGCTTGCCTACAACCTATTCATATAGAAGCAATTTTCTCAACTGTGGTTCCCTCCTCTCAGATGACTTTAGCCAGTGCTAACACAAAGCCACCCAGCACAGCCACCAAGGTTAACCATTGCCTTTGTTAGGGTTTTTATTGCCGTGAAGAGAGCCCATGAACACTGCAACTCTTTTTTCTTTTTTAATTTAGCAATTTATTCTGTTTAGTCCACAAGCTTTATATAGCTTTAGTTTAAAAATAAAATAAAACAAGTGAAACCAAGACACTGTCCAGGCCCTTCCAGCCTGCCGAATACAGAAGCTCATCAGTTGTGTGTGCCAATGAGAAGTGTAAGGAAAACCATGAATGGGAGTTTCATAAAACAAATTCATATAACTGAAGAGTCCTTCCTGGGTCTAGTCAATCACCTTTATAAAAGAGGAAGAAAAGGGGGAAGAGGAAACAAAACAACACAACCTGAGGGAGAAGACGCAGAGTTCCAAATCAGCTTAGGAACTGTCGCACAGGGCAGCCCTGCAGCCCGGGAGGGAGCAGTGCTCAGCTCTAGAGCTGGGATCCTCAGCAGACTCCACAGGCATCAGAGCGAACACTCATTCACTCAGACCTCGGTGGTACTTCAACAGTGGTCTCACTTCTGGGCAAGCTTACAAACCTATACAAAGTTGGAAGCATAATTTACATGGGTGCTAAGAGTCAAGAGAAAAGGAAGAAGGGGGGAAAAAACCCATAAACCAACCTCTGGGGAGAGGCAAGGACATGGTCCACAAGATTTTGTAAATAAGATTTATTTGTTTGCACTGTCCCTGTCTTCAGACACACCAGAGGAGGGCATCAGATCCTATTACAGATGGTTGTGAGCCACCATGTGGTTGCTGGGAATTGAACTCAGGACCTCTGGAAGAGCAGTCAGTACTTTTACACTGCAACTCATAAACAAAATCATTTATTGGGGACTGGCTTTGATTTCAGAAGTTTCATCCATTGTAGATACAGCAGGAAGCATTGCAGCACTCAGGCAGACATGATGCCGAAGGAGCCAAGAGTTCTACATCAAGACTGGCAGACAGCAGGAAGAGAGTGAGCCACTAGGCCTGGCTTGAGCAACTGAAACTTCAAAGTCCACTCAGTGACATACTTCCTCCAACAAGGCCCCATCTATTCCAAAAGGGCCACACCTACTCCAACAAAGCCACAATTCCTGATAGTGTCACTTCCTGTGAGCCTATGGGTGCCTTTTTTTTTTTTGGTTTTTCGAGACAGGGTTTCTCTGTGTAGCCCTGGCTGTCCTGGAACTCACTCTGTAGACCAGGCTGACCTCAAACTCAGAAATCCGCCTGCCTCTGCCTCCCAAGTGCTGGGATTAAAGGCGTGCGACACCACTGCCCGGCTATGGGTGCCATTTTTATTCAAATTACCACCTCAACCGTACTGCCTCTCTTTTTCTCACATGCATTTGTGTAACATGCTAGCGCCTCAGGCTTGCTCACCAGGGAAACCAATGTCCCAAAGAGCTTCACTTGTTCACAGTAGCCCTGTCAACAGTCAAAGCAAGATGCAAGGTCCTTCTCGAACTCAGTAGTCTCACATACACACCCGGAAACAGCACAGACCAGCAGACACGAGGGCTGGCTCCCCTCTAGTTTTGAAGGAACACAGTATCAGTGTGTATCAGATCATGTGACCATAGGAGAAGGCCAGGTGGGCATCTGGGACACAGCAAGAAGGCTGCAGGTAGCACAGCTGGTGAGTCAGACCTGTCCTCGAGGGTGAAAGTTCTAGAGAAATTCATCATGGCCACGGTGGGGCTAAGTCATGGTAGGACCCAGCATCAGAGCAGCACTGATCCTCACCCAGCCGTCTACTTACCCCACAGCCTATTAACTCAAAAGTGCACCAAGCCTTGATGGAGAAGGTGGTCCTGGAGACAGACCCCCGCCCAACGTCCTGGAAGATCCAAGTCCTTCTGGAGAGAATAATGAGGAGTCTGAGCGCCCTGACACTGTCTGATTTGGAAAACTTCATAGCAGTGGTTCAGGTGGTGCTCGGGGACCTCAGTGAAAAGATATCTGAAATCTGGTCTTAAGGCAGCCACCAAATTGTCTCAGACCTCCACTGCATGTCTTGGGAAAGGAGGAACCGCAGGGCAGGGCACATACAAAGACTTTGAGAGTCAACTTGTAGTCCAGACCTGTCGTAGCTCTTTTCTTAGGGATTAAAAAAATAGGGTTTGTGAGGGGGGAGTTAAACTGAATCTGAGGCTGGGCACAGAGAAGGCTTAGTGGTTATCCCTGATCTAACCACTCAGAGACACATTATTATCCAGTAAGTAACCCTAGCCAACATCTGTCTGTCCCCTTGTTCTCATCCCTGCGGTACAGAGATTCTTCTATGACTGTCAGTACCAGTGCTTGGCTTTTACTCAAGACACACACCACCAAGCTCTGTCTTTCATTATCTGTGCATTTCTAGGCAAGCAGCTTTATGCCTCCGTTTTGCCATCTGTAAAATGGGCCTAGAAATGACTCCTGCCACGACAGAGTCAAGAGTATTGAATTCATTCATGCAGGTTGTATCTTTAAACAGTGAACCCACATGGCAAGCATCACTGAAGTTACTAGTTGATCGGCCCCTCCCCAAATGTGTGTCACTAAGTTAAGGCTGGGTGTCTGCATTTGCCTTGGTTTACAGGATCAGTCCCATCCTCGGTTGTAGGTCTTTTTTGTCATGATTCTAACTACCATTTACCAGGCCTGAGCCATGAGCTAGCTTGGCTTTGTGCTAAGGGCTGTTCAAACTCCATCTCATGGGGCTCTGTGACACAGGTAGTATTTTTGTTGAGGACACAGAGTCCAAGAGAGGCACAATGGCTTCCTTCACATCCTCTAAGCTACCTGTCGACTGAGTGACATCACCTTTTTAACTCCATAGTTATTACTTGTATGACTGCCCACTTCAGAGTATCTCCAAACCTCAATTACCCCCAAACTCTTCTGCCTTCCATCCACTTTGTTGCAAGACTCACACCCTCTAAAAGACTGTCTCAGCCACTGAGATGTTGCTGACATTCTACAAGTCACACTCTACTCGAGCCTTTGGCACACTGAAGAACAGTGCAGAACACTCTTGCTCATGCCAGGCTGAGATTGCAATAGAAAACCCTCACTCAAGGACCCCACTGTTTGTGCACTGCCTTCAAGACTGTCACTAACACTGACTCAATCACAGATGGCAGATGGCAGATGGCCCACCCAGCTCTGTCACAGCAAAAGAAAACCTAGACAGAAACCCAGCACCAGCCTGCACTTAGGTCCCTCAGCCTGAAGCTGACCTAAGTCCCACAGGACCCAAAGTTCACTCCTCAAATAGCTGGGGTTCTTTGGGTCATTAGAAACAACCATAAACTAACTACACAGACCAAAGCAGTAAATACCTGGTCACCTAGCTAAAACACTTACCCAAAGAAGTGGCAGTGATCTCTGGATGAGAGACCAGGAGCCCAGAGCCCAGGAGGCCCCATCTTGGGATGCTCAGCTTGTCCTAGAGAGACTTTCTGTACATTCTGGTTCATGGGCGTCTGTCTCCTGAGCACTCGAGGCTCCTAGTGGTCTCTCATCCACCCTTATTTCCTTGGATGACTTTGGTCCAATCCAGTGTGGCAAGGGAGGATGGAATTATGTAGTAAACAAGGCTCCATGATAACCTAGGCATTGGCGGAGCAGTTTGTAGAAAAGGAGGAGTTAAGCTTGGTGCCCACCCCTGCCACGAGGTGTCTTTTATATAAAGAGACATGGGGTACCCATTCTTCCCAGGATGACCCTAACCCCAGCCTCAACCAAAAAGGCTGAACACCTTCTCAATCCAGCCTGAGAGTTAGCCATTCTCCAGTGTAAACAGTGACACCCACTGGCCACCTCTGTGGCATACTCCCCTAATAATTTCCCACTGGCTGCCACCCACCATCACCTAATGCCACCAGCCCCAAAACATCACCTAAGCAGCTGAAGTGTAGCTAGAGAGAAGGCTCTCAGAGGTGCCACACGGTCACTTCTATGGAACTGTCACCCCTTATTGGTGAGTGGTGTCACTGCAGAATCAGAACACTGTTGGAAGGTAATGAGCTGGGACAAACATGGCACTGTGCTGACATCCCCTGCACAACATCAAAGGTTTAGTGACCTCGTGACACTACATCTCTGCTCTGTGTATTAGAAGCCCAGGTCCTCAGGCAGAGGACCTTTTCAGAGGTGGGGTCCAGTGCAAGGAAGTTGGGAAACTGGGATGTGTCCTCTAAAGACCCGGCTGCTCCTCTTCCTTCCTCGATGCATAAAATGAGCATCTTTGCTTTGCTCTGTCGTTCATGTCCCACCATAACACTCAAAGACATGGGACCAGGCAAGCATGAGCTGAAGCCAGGAAGCAAAAGCAATCCTCATTTCCATGGTCTCAGGATCTCACACACTTGTCAGGACAGCCTAATGCTATCTGTGCACTCTGTCCCTGACGAAGCTGAGGGGTATGGATGGAGCCATCACCACCACTCACACTACTGCTGTAGGTCACCCTGGCAACTTGTTCTGTTGGAGAAGGGGGTCCTGCTTTGTTTGTGATGGTCAAGTGCATGTCTGCCTTGACAAACATTTCATGCATTTCGGAAGACCATATATACGCTAACTTTAGAGTATCTAATTTGCTAATGGGAAAACTCAGGAAAATTTAGGCTTTGGTTCATCATGTAAACTAGCTAGCTTCTTTAAAACAAAATCCTGAGGGGAGGGAGGAGATGGCAATCAAAAAAGTTGAGGATGGTCAAAATCACTAAGAACTCAAGAGGGGCAGGGAAGGGTCCAGTAGGCAAAGTGCTTACCAGGCAAGCGTGAGGAACTGAGTTCAGATCTCCAACACTCAGATAAATGCTGAGCAGATGTTGGACCGCAACTCTAAGCCCAGAACTCAGGAGGCAAGGAGAGGATTCCCGAGGCAAGCTGAGGGTTAGACTTCCCACTTCAGGGAGCTCTGAGTTAAAGAGACCCTGCCTCAGAATATAAGATTGAGAGAGACTGAGAAAGGCTTCTAGTATCAAGTGTGGGCCTCCACACACACATGCAAGCATGTGCATACACATGTGTGTGTACTGGCATGCACAGCAGTGGGGGGTGGACTGAAGAGATGTGACCATGCAAGTAAAACATGCAGACTGTGAAAAATCTGTAAGGGAGCAGACAGGAAGAGGACATATAGACTACATACTAGAAACTGAATCTGTTAGATGTGCTACTACTACTGGGGCTTGAAAAAGAATATTATTCTCTAAGAGACTGGTGCTAAAATATTTAGGAGCAAACTGTTTTAAGTACAACTTGAAAATATTTCAGTAAATAATTGTGTGGTACTACACACCAATTAAAATTCAATTGTGTGAAAGAGCCCAATTTGGTTAAGAAAAATTATCTCAAGATATACATAGAAAAATCTGGAAGTTAAATGCCAAAACACATAACGGTTGGCTTTGGGGTGGAGAACTCACTCATGAGACTTCCATGTTTTGTACCAGAATTCAAACACTACAGCTGACTAGTCGTGAACATATTTGTATAACTGGAATTTTTTCTAATCTGTATTTTTAAAGGGGAATAGACATTTGTCAGACGACTGTAATAGCTGTCACTGCACTGGTTTCTACCAGCCCTATCCTTTTTGGAAGGGTTCCCACAGCAGCAAGGTGTGGTCACCCACACACCAGTACCACCACCTCTACCTGAGCTGAGGCAGGTTGACTGCTGAGCCGGTCCAGGCTCCACAGTGAAATCCTGTCCCTATCAAACACAAAAGGCAAACTAGATAAGAGGAAGCATCCCAGCAAATCCCTCAGTCCTGAATAGGGTCTATCCTTTAACCCAGTAAGACAGGTTTGCTAAATGAGTCATGACATAATGGGCTGAAAATCACTGCTTTGACTGACTGCCCCCTTGAAAAGACTATTTATAATAGGCTCTATTTATAAGGCATCAGCAGAGGAGAATTTAAAGATCTGGGGTTGTTAGACCAGAGGGGAAATACAAACTTGTTTGTATTATTGTTACAGCACTACTTAATTTCAATGAAACCGTCTGTGCTGACAGGACTGGGAAATTGGCTTTTACAGTTTAAAAACAAAACCCTTTCATTCTAGTTTGGATCTGAACTGTCTCCCAAATGCCCACGTGTTAGACTTGTTCTCCAGCCCACGGTGCCACTCAAAGGCAGTACACTGTTTGCAGGAGGTGGGCCTTTGAAGGGGTTAGAACATCCACATACCCTTGTGTTCCTTATCTGGTTCCCAGCCATGCAGGGGACAGCTTGCTTTACTGCTCTTCCCACGCCAATGGCCTGCAGCTTTACCATAGGCCCCAAAGCAATGGGGACTATAATATACATTATAATGGTAAATTGTCTGTGTTGTGCAAGCCATCCCTCAGACTCCTGTTTATGTCAAGAGTCCCCAGGCTCTGTCCTGGGTCAGGCTGGCCTAGTCAGGTTGATCCCTCTGGCTCTGTGACAAGGACAGGAAAAAACAAGGAGGTGAACCATTCCCAGCAGAGGTTACTATTGTTTGTCCCGTGTATAAAAACGTCCACCTGGGAAGGGGAAGCCGAAAGCTTATCCACGAAGAGAAAGTTCAGATTAGCATCTTTTAACTTGATTTCTGTTCAGTGTTGGAAGCCCCAATTTGATATGTTTCCTTTGTTTGTTCTCAATCAGGATGGTCCAATTTGTTCTAGATATTTTGAATGCCTGATTTGACGATGCTTTGCTATTATCGGAGGCTTCTAATCTGCTACTTGCTACTTATTCTATTTGTGTTTGTTATAGAATTAATAAACCCGCTTACTCAAAACCAAGAGTGGCTATGATAGGTTATTCTCCTGACTAAAAAACAGAGACAGTCTCTAATCAATAAATCATTTGAGAGCCAAAACAAGCTTCTAAGTTGATTATCTTAGGTGTTTGTTGCAGTAACAGACAATTAACACCCTTTCTATTGACTCACCAAAATATCTCACAAGCTGGAAGTGGTGGAACACACCTCCCAGCATTTGAGAGGCC